GCAGGCTGGAAGTGCTGGGGGGGAGCTCAGGAAACATTTGTCATGTAACTCTTTTAATAAACATTCCTACTTTTTTAGTGCTTGGAATGAGGTTGTGGTTTCTGGTGCTTCTCAGGAAGAGTGTCTGTCCTGCCATGGGGTCTGGTTCCTTTGTGACAACTGGTTTTTGAATGTTTGGTGGCTATACCTGGCCAGGTGACCTACTGGAGAAGTGCTAATCCACAGCCAGAAATCAGAATGACATAGAATTTCCAAAAGTCATCAAGCATTTCCTAATAATTGGTAATGAGGTTTTCCCTTCAGATTCTGAGAAGTGCCACAGCTCTGGAGCAAACCCACCCCCTCAGTGCTCCATGTCTCCTTAAACAGGCAGCTGGTCTGCGTGTGTCCAGGGAAGAGAGCTGAGGCATCCTGATTTCAGAAAAACAAGTGATTCTGGGTAAAATAAAAGAAATCTAAGGTCTTAACTGGCCTCTCAAACACCACTTTTCCCCAGCATTAGATGTTAGTGCTAGTGTGTCAGTTATTGCTGGTGTCCCTAAAGCTGGTGGCTGGATGTTGATGCATGGGTGGTGTGTGGGAGGAGCCCAGCACCAAGCAGGTAATGGATGGGGCAATATCCTGCTCCGTGCTTCTGCCTGAAGGTGAGAATAACCTGCCAGGCCCAAGCCTGTGGTGCTCATGGGTTTCCAGCCTCTCCATGGGACGTTGCAGAGGAGTCACCAAACGCTGTGGGGGACGCGCCGGACCCAGTCGCGGTTCATCCAGACCTCCCAGAGCTCTCCTGTGCTGTGCCAAATGGCAAATCTGGTGTCACACGCTGTCATTGCCTGGGCTGAGGGTTTCGTGTGGTGGCAGGAGGGGTTAGGGTGGGCTGAGGTGCATGGTAGTGCTGGGGGCTGGTGTCTGGGGGAGTCTGAACAGCTCCTCTGCTTCCCAGCCTTGCACGGGCTGGTGGGGCCGTGACCTGCGAGGGCTGTTCAGCTGCTGGTGACAGGAACCTGGCCTGTCCCCAGGGGGAAACAATGCTCCTGCGTGGTGATGGGACTCCCCACTCCAGTGGCCCCAGCACCAGCTAAAACAGGTGGGTGGGGAGTTCTGTGGCACAAGGTGTGAACAAGGAGGAGGGCCCAGGACCGTCAAGCTGTGCTGGGGGCCGGGAGCTTCAGTCCTTGCTGCTTGTGCTCCCTGAGGCTGGGACTCCTGGGGTGCCAGTGGAGCAAGGTGCTGGGGCTGAGCTGCCCTGAGACCCCCATCAGCAGCCCCTACCTGGTGCTGGCAGCTGCTCTGTGCCACCATGGGGTTACCAGATGGATGGGACTTGGCTTCTCCATCCATCCTGTCTTCACACAGGTTGGCATAACAGGCTCTGTTAGCACAAGGTTTTGTTCTGGTTCCTGAGCAAACACTTTTTGTCTGGTAAGTAAAGTTTAGCACATTTTTACATCTTCTTTTGGCCAGCACTTGTGCATTCTGCATTCCTGGAGGGGATTAATTTTGCTGGCACGTTACAGAGAAATCTGTGATCTGTCCCAGGGCTCTGTGTGACTTGGAAGGAAAAGGCAGCAGGAGGCACGTGACTGGAGAGCTGGATGTCCTGGGACAGGGGCTGCACCAGCCTGGGGTCACTGAGAAGTGCAAAAAGCCTTCTCTTGCATCTGGGAATGGCCTCTCCTCCTGGGAGCTGGCTTCCATCACACATTGATGGTGTGGGGCTGAGAGGGAAGGAGCAGAGGAACCTTTCCAAAAGGAAAGGGCATCTCCTTGTTGTAACTTGTTACTTCTGCAACTCATGAATCTAGTGCTCTGAATTGCTGGTGGGTTCAGGAGTACATCCAGAGCAGGAAACTGCAAGTCAGAATTCACCACCACTGTGACAATCCACATCAGGGAAGATTTTGTTTATGGCAAAGACACTGATATAAACACTGGTTTTCATCATTTCTTTTTCCAGGTGAGCCCAGAGTGCATGCTGGGGTCAGTGCTGGCCACCCCTGGGGATGCAGCTGTGCTGCTGGGCTCAGAAATGAAGGTGGCAGGAGGGAGCAGCAGACGACCCTAGTTCTCCAGCTCTGGCCAAGCCTGTGGCTGCTCTCAGGTAGGACACAAGGGTGGGAGTTGGGGTGAGCAGCCCCCAGGACCCCAGCCCAGCACTGGAGGTGCCGAGACAAGCACTAAAGCCAGAACATCTGCTGGCAAATAAATACACAGTTTTACTACTGTAGCTTAGTCCTTTTGGGAAACTGGTTTAAGATATATTAGTCAAGGAATAATGCTTGCAGCTCTACCAGGAAACTTTTATTAGGAGCAGTTCCTACTATTGCCAACTTCAGCCATTAAAATCATTAGTCAGGTCCCCAAGCTGGGCATATTAAACCTTCAGGGTTTTTTACTCCTTATAATAAATCAGCCTGGCTTGTTTTGTTTGCTTTCCTGTTTCTGACTCTCTGAAATATGAGGTTTTTGAAGTGATTTTCAGCAGCTCCAGAGGCTAGAAATGATGTGTGTAGCTGTTGCAAGTGAAAGCAGATGTAGAGGGAATTAATGTGGTTTTATGGCATCCCCAGGGCAGAGCTCGGGGGCCCCGGGTGGTCGGCAGCCCCTGTGCCCTCCTGGGCTCTGGCACAGCCACGAGCCCACCATGAGCTCCATTGCCAGCCCACCCTCCCGTCTTGGGCACTTAAGTCTGTTGTGGGTTTTTTCCCTCCTGTAGTTTCCCAACCAACCTCTGGAGCACAGAGGAAGGTTCCAGCAGCCGGGGCTGCCCCTGGGTGGGCACTCGCTGAGCTGGCCCATGGCCCCACCTGTCCAGGCATCTTCTCTGTGCTGAGCTTGGTCAGAACTATAGTTTTGGAAATATAACTGCCTTCAAGTCTAAAATTAGAAGCCTTTGTGCAGACTGGTTTCCCCCCACCCACCTCCTTTCAGACCCAGGGCAACCACCAGCCGTGCGGTTCCCATAGCAACACGAGTAATGGAGCAAAAGCAGATGAAAGGTCCCTTGTTGGGGGGGGAGTTTTGTTCTGCAGCCCAGAGGCACGGGGCTGCTTTGCATGCTTCTCAATTAGTGGACTTTTCATGCTTCCTTAATGAAATGTAAGGTCTGGACATACATACTGGTACCAGTTCTTAGCAAGGCAAAATACATCTGTCTTAGGTGGGAACCATTGAGGGGGAAAAAGTCAATAGTCACACCAGAAAATGCAATGTGAAAGAGACCTGTTTAATTAAAGCATGGAACGTGGTTACAAACCATCCTCTTTGTGCAAAAAAAACGACACCCCCAAGAGCAGGATGGGCAGAGAAGGCCACTAGTGCAGGGCTGTGATTGTCCTAAAGCTGAGGAGCTCTTGTTTTAGTAAGGTAAGAATGAAGGTTTTCAACATTTCAGTGATTTTGGAGTCGACAGAACAATTTTGCTGCTGTTTCACTCCAGCCACCAGCCCTCAGCTCCTGCTGCTGTGCCCCCCAGGCTGCTCCTGGAACTTGAGGTTGCAGGAGACCAAGACGTAGTCCTGGGAAGGGGAGGAAGGGGCTGAGCCGGGGGCAGGGGGCTCAGGGCAGCCTGGGCTGGGCTGGGCCAGGCCACGGCCCCTCCAGCACAGGGACCACTCGTGTCGGGCTGGGGAGGGCCTGTGCTATGGGAGGGGGTGAGCTCGGCTGTGGGCTCAGCAGGGCTGGAGGAGCAGGGTCCTGTTTCTTCTGGAGCCAGGAGAGAAGTGCTGCTCCAGGTGCCCTTTAAATCCAGCCTAGCAGGGAGTGATTTAAATGCCTTGCTTCTTACCCTGTGAATCGTGACGTTGAAGTTGGTGTAGGTGAAGCTGAAGATGTGGGGCAGGAACACACCTTCACTCAGGACAGCTAGGAAAAAAACCCCAGGCTGAGCTGTCCCCGGGTGCTGCCTCGTCCTGCCGGGGCAGCGCCGCCCAACTCACCGTTCAGCTGAGCTGGAACCTCCTCACGGATTGTGGGCAAAAATAACTGCTCCAGTAGGGCAGCCTGCCAAAGGATCCCACCATCAGCTCATGGACTGAGTGACTTTAGAGCAGGAGAGGGACAGGGACCAGCACAATGGGGTCCTGCTGCTCACTGCACCTCTCCTGGTCCCACACAGACCTGCCCCTCCCCGCTGTGGGTGCAGCAAGCACCCAAGGGAGACATTTCCCTGGGCACTGCTGCCCGGGGTGCTTCAGGGCAGCTGAGGGTGACCAGGATGTTAGAGGACAGTGCTAAGGTGCAGCACAGTGTGAGGAGGGGACACAGCCCTTGGGGGTGCACAGGCACCTACCGGCACGGGGCCCACGTTGGAGGCAGCCAGGCTGAGCTCAACATCCCTGGAAAACAAAGAGCAGCACCAGAGCTGCTAGCAGTAACAGGCAGCAACTGACCTGCTCCCCCAGGCCCCCTGGCTGTGCTCAGGGCCAGGCCAGCACTGACCCTGGGGCCTGGGCACATCTGGGCAGGCAGCTGGAGCCCAACCTCCCTCCGGGCACAGAGCAAGGGCTTGGGGAAGCTTTTCCCCCCAGGTTCTCACTGAGCAGTGTTGGTGAGGCCCTGCTGGTGTGGGGGGGCTGGGCTGAGGTGAGTGGGGAGGGGGGTGCTGTGGGGCGGGGGATGCTGTGGGGAGGGGGGTGCTGTGGGGCGGGGGATGCTGTGGGGAGGGGGGTGCTGTGGGGCGGGGGATGCTGTGGGGAGGGGGGTGCTGTGGGGCGGGGGATGCTGTGGGGAGGGGGGTGCTGTGGGGCGGGGGATGCTGTGGGGAGGGGGGTGCTGTGGGGCGGGGGATGCTGTGGGGAGGGGGGTGCTGTGGGGCGGGGGATGCTGTGGGGAGGGGGGTGCTGTGGGGCGGGGGATGCTGTGGGGAGGGGGGTGCTGTGGGGCGGGGGATGCTGTGGGGAGGGGGGTGCTGTGGGGCGGGGGATGCTGTGGGGAGGGGGATGCTGTGGGGCTGGAGCCACGGGCTCTGGGGTGTTGGTGGGTGCAATGTCCACTTTTCTCTCTCTAGCCATGTTACCAGTGTTTCCTTGTTTCCCTGGGGATAGAGCTGCCCCTGCACTGCCCAAACCATACAAGCTAAGGGGTGCCCTGCACTGCTTCTCCTCTCCCAGCTCTGCCTGGGATGAGTCTCCTCCGAGCCCAGGGAGCGTGGCTGGTTCATTACTCTGCCCCTGCTGCAGTGACCATCATCCTGGTGTCCGTGACGCTGAGGAGCAGCCCTGCAGCCACGTCCTGCGGGGCAGGAGGGCAGGATCAGAGGCAGGGAGGGGCCCCCTCGGGTGGGGGGGAGC